ATGTACTCATACAACGAACTAAGCAATGCTGACACTGGGATAAATAGTCTTCCCTAGGAATGAGCCCCCTAATTGGTTATCTAACACTAATTGGTCAGCCCTAAAATCATATACTGGCAAGTTGTTTAACACATACAGTGACAAACAACAGTTTTTAAAAGAGGCCATAAATTTGAGAGGGAGTAGAGTGTGAGGGGACACAGGAAGGCAGAAACGATGTCATTATATTTTAGTTTCCGAAAAAGCGAAAGGACAAACCACACAAGTGCTCCGGTGCATGGGCACAGGAGGAAGTCTTTTCTTTGGGGTGGTGTTAGACACCATGACCAAGGCAACTCATAAAAGAAAGCGTTAAATTGGGGTTACACTTACAGCTACTTGCTTACAGTTTCAGAGGGTACGGAGCCATTACCACTGTGGCGGGAAGCACACAGGCATGGTACTGGGGCAGTCGATGAAGGGTTTTACACTGAGCCACAAACAGCAGCAGACTCTGGGCCTGCACTGGACTTTTGAGACCTCAAAGCCCACTTCCATTGGCACACCTCTTTCCACAAGGCCACATTTCCTCCCACAAGGCTATAACGAAATTTTCCAAACACCTCATCAACTGGGGACTAAGCACACAAAAATGAAAGCCTATGGGGGGGGATGTTTTCCATCACACCACCAGGGATGGCCACAGGTAGGTGGTCCAGGCCCCAGTAGATGACTTTGTACCCATGAGCATATGGGCAGCATTAATTGGACTCAGTGTGTCACAATAACAGAGGATGTTTAAATTGGGAGGGAGATGGGTTGGGGAGGGAATCCGGGAGGAGCTGAAAGGGAGGGAATGGGGTTGGATATGACCAAAATACACTGTGTATGTATATGAAGTCTTCAAAGAATAAAAAAAATGATAAATTATATGTAGGAAGGCGGTTTGCTGTTATCTTACAAGACTAAGCTGACCAGCAGTTGCAGTTTCAGGCATTTATCCAAGGGAGTGGAAAGCTTATGTCTGCATAGACACCTGTACACAGATGTGCACAGCAGCTTTATTCATAATTGCCCAAAGCTGGAGTCACAGAAGACATTCTCCAGTAGGCAAGGGATAAACAAACTGATGCTCACGAAAACAACAATTACTCAGCACTGAAGAGGCAAGCAGTCAAGGTATAGAAAGACATGGGTTTGTTTAAATGCTTATTAAGGAAATGACACTCCAAAATAGCTAGACATTAATTTGTTTTTATTTTGATCACAGGACACACTGGAAGGCAAAACTATGAAGACAGTAAAGAGGTCAGGGTTTGCCAGGGCTTGGTGGAGAAGGATGAATAAAGTACAGCACGGGATTTTTAGGCCAATGTTATTGAACAGTCATCCAGTGGACAACAGCAAGAGGGAACCCTAAGAGAAAGGATGGCCAGAAAGGATGCTAATGTGTCACACTGTGTGTCTGAAGCTTAACTGGCAATGTTGATGGAGTGAAGAGGGTACAATCACAAGGGTGGGTGAGAGAATTATGGGAAATTACTGTGCATTCCACTTAATTGTTTTTTCTTGTTGAGAGAGTCTCACTATGTAGCTTTATAGTCCAGGATATCCTTGAACTCACAGATATCTGCCTCCCAAAGTGCTGGGATTAAAGGTGTATATCACATCTAGCGACTTCATTTTGATATAAACCCAAAACTCATCAAAAGGGTACAGCCTTACAAACAGTTTTTAAAAAGTATGAACTGGAGCAGAATGACAAAGGCAGTAAGGCTCGCCCCCCACAGAATCAAGCCAGGGCCTCCACAGCTGAGCCCTCCTGGTGTCCTCCCAGTGGACTCCGAGGCTCTCAGCTTGACTCTTGAGCACATAGCACCTAAGTCGTGTTCTCTCTTCCAGGTCCACCCTGCCACACTTGACCCCATTGTCTTCCCCAGCAAAACATATTGCACACCTATACCCTCTAAATTCCCTCTTGTGAGAAGGTCCTGGTCACCTCATATCCTTGACTTGGCTAACTTCTATATTTCCTTCCCTAATTCCCACAGGCTAGCTTGTGGGGGTGGGGGTGGGGTGGGTGGAGGTCCTCATTTATCTTAGTCACAGTATATATGGGGGGTGTTTTTTAGCATGATTATGATCTATGATCCTACCAGACACAGTTCTAGGTCCTGGGGAATCTATCAATGAATAAAACAGACAAAAACTCCTGCCATTGAGGAGCCTACATTCTAGAGGTGCCTATGGGCTTGGAAAAGGGCAGAAAGGGGGCATGCTCTGCCTATGGGTGCCTAAGGTTGTTGTCTGTGGTGCCTAGCTCACAGAAGATCCCAGCCCCTGGAGTTGACAGAGCTGACAGAATGACCACGCACCAAGACCTTGGAGCATGTGCAGTCTAGTCTAGTACGATCCACTTGATAAGCACCACAGTGGCACTAGCAAGGAAGAGAACACCTCGGCAGGCAGAGAGGCCAAGGGATACTGGGATCCACAGAGGAGTGAGCACAAAGGGACTGTCCCTGATACCATCCTTTCTAATTACCCCTCGTTATCTTCCCTGAGGCAGATTAACATCCCACACACCTTCATATTGCTGCTACTAGACACTTAAGAAAGTCTAGCATGGAGTGAGTACCGAACTTGATTGGATATCAGTGAGTGGGATAGTGCCCGAGAAGCTATTTCTTACATGCTCTCTGGATCATTCTGATATAACCAACTACACACAGGGGTTCAGACAGCCCATCATCCTCCAGGGTGTGCCCCAATCTGTCCTTAGACCACCATAACTTCCTTTTCAGTCTCATGTTCTGCTACCACAGCCTCCACTTTCTTCAGGACTCTGCTCACATCTTGTCTTCTTGATAAATATTTTCCAAACCAGACTTCTGCCTTAAAGAAAAAGATGATGTGTGTGCGTATGTAGGTGCAGGTACCTGTGGAAGCCAGGGATGTTAGAACCGCTAGAACTGAAGCCAAAGGTGGCCGTGAGCTGCTCCACACTGGTGCTGGGAACTCCTCAGAGATGTGCTTTTAGTCCTGAGCCATCTCTCCTGCTGTCTTATCTTGGAGACAGGTTCACTCTGTGTAGTCAGGCTGGTCTTGAACTGATCCTCCTGCCCCAGGCTCCCAAGTGCCGGGACTCCAGGCTTGTACAATCATACTTTTTAATACACTATATCTCTTCCTTCTTGTCCCTGTCCCCGTTCACATTGATCCGGGCATTTAGCTATAAGTGAGTGGCATGTTAAATTTGACTCAGGCTCAGGAAAGTCTATCCCTCCATGTTGAGAAACACTGAGAGCTGGCTCTCAAGTGCAGCCATCATCAAAGGTGAAATGACTAAACTTATAATTACATGAATGATGCTGAGCACACACAAAGGTAGAGATGCTCACACTTGTCACTTTAACCTTGAAATCATCGCCTGCATGCCTCCCTGAGAGTCTGCCCTGCAGACCTGTGACCAGTAGACATGATGTAGCAGGGCTTGCTGGGTATTTGTCCTCCACTCTGAGTCCAGGTTCACCAACAGGGGAGGGAAACATGGCAAACTGGGTTTCACTGTATTGGTTTATTGGTTTGTCCCCAGTTGGCACGAGCCAAATTCAGCTCATCAGCTGTATTTGTAAATAGTCTTAATGCAGTAAGACCATGCCCATTCACTTTTGTACTATTGGTAGCAACTTTACATAGATCTAAGTAAGCAGTTACAAGTATAGCTCTAAAGTCCCACAGTAGAGGCCCTTTACAGAAGACAATGACTGGCCGCTGGTCTGGCATTAAGAAAGTAACTGAAAGGCTGGGTGGTGCTGGTATACACCTTTAGTCCCAGCACCCAAGAGGCAGAAGCAGGCAGATCTCTGAATTTGAGGCTAGCCTGGTCAACAAAGCAAGTTCCAGAACAGCCAGGGCTGTTACAGAGAAACCTTATCTCAAAAAACTAAAAAGAAGAAGAAGAAAGAAGAGAAATATTGGAGCAAACATTAGTAATGCAGAGCCAGTCAGGTCAGTGGGGGGGGGGGGTGAGAGAAAATTCCAGCATTTGTCATCTCACATTTTCATCTTCTGACTCTTCGGTTCAAATGCAAACACCAGCACTTATATGGGCACCACATTTGTTTAGACATAACCACATGCGAGCCATACACAGAAGACTTAGATTCAAGAAAAGTATAATATAAATATCAGCTAAGTTGTGACACATGCTTGCAATTCCAAGTGAGGAAACTAAGGCAGGAGGACGAGTTTGAGGCTAGCCTGGGCAACAGAGCAAGACAGTTATCTCAAAAACAAAATAGCAGGCAGGAGTGAGTGAAGGTTTAGTGATTAGAAACATGTACTACTCTTACAAAGGACCCAAGTCTGGTTTTAAGCACCCAAGCAGATTGTGACCACCTGTAACTACAGCTCCAGGGGACAACACTCACTGGCCTCTGCCTGCACCTTTGCCCACACACACACACACACACACACACACACACACACACACAATTTTTAAACAAAATAAATTATTTTAAAAACCCAAAATAGTAACTGAAGAATGAAATTGATGATAAAGAATATTATAAGATTACTTCTAGGGTTCTATCAGTAAAACTTACAGTTAGTACACATACTGTTTGAGGGCTATTCGTCTCCATTAGAACACAAGCCAGTCCACAGCCATGACACCCTAACTGTGCCTTATCTCATCTGAATGGAAGCTTACTTTATTCTAGGAATTATTAAAACAAAACAAACAAACAAAACACCTGACACGTAGCAGGAGCCAGGCAACGTATGTGGCATGGCTGAATACAGGAACAGTTTGGGGACTCCAGTTTTCGGGGATTGACTTGTCAGACCTACACCAGTCTCAGCTCTACCACTAACCAGCTGTGTGAACCGGGTAAACCATGTAACCTTTTAAAATCTGAGCTTCTTCCTCCACAAGGCGGGGTCCACCTTCTTATCTCACAGGGAAGGGAGGCTGTGATCATGGGCACTGCTGCCTGTCGCCTGCTGTGTCTCTCCAGGTGGGAGTGGCCTTCTGACCCTCCAGAGACACATCCCTGATGCTGTCACACATTTCAGTGATGTCACAGGTCCCCTGCCTGGCAGCTCCAGTGCCATCATATGTTGCTCAGCCCGTGTGCTGGCTGAAGTGAGAGGGGAGGGTACAGGCAGTGCTGGATCAAATCTTGCTGCTACAGCCCCAGCATGAATCCATCTACAAAGAAGAGGCCCAAGAATAGACTGGTTTCCAAGGTCAGACTTTGTACTGGAGCTTGGGCATAGAAGGGATCTTACCAGAGAGTCCAGCCACACCAAGGACAGACAGACTTTCCAACCTTTCAGAAAAGGGAAGGACGAAGGGTGAGAGGGGGCCAGCAGAGTTAAAACGGTCCCAGGCTAGGACCGGTTAAAGCCTGCTCAGCCAATGGGAAAGGCACAGCATAGGCATGCGAGGGGACTCCTTCTATGCTAGCTCCCCTCTCTTCCTATCCCTCAGATACAAGATGAGAAACTGCAGGATGACAAGATAAATCAGCCTGTCAGCAAACTAATTGAGCGGAACCGACTTAAAATGGTGAGATGTTCCACTGTAGCCCCTGCCTAGGGAAGTCTAACGCCCCCTGAAGTGCTATCCCAGGGGCTTGATCCAGCGACATGGGAGCTGAGCCAAGCCACAGCTAGGACATGGAAGGCTATCCCAGGAGGGCTGAGCCCTCTAATCTTCTGGTTTCTTGACCCTGTCAGGTATTAAAAAACTTGTCCCTCTTGAAGTTACTCAAGAGCTCGAATAGCCGGATCCAAGAACTGCATAGCCTGGCCAGAAGGTGCTGGAATTCAATGCTCAGAGTTCCAAAGATCCTCCAAATCTCCTCTGGGTGAGCTCCGTCCACACCCCCTCCTGATAAACACACAAAATGGAGCCAGTAGCTGCCTTTCCTAGGAATAAGCATTGTGGTGAGGGATTGAGGAACAGTGGCCTGCTTTACATAGGGGCTCTGGGAAACAGGTATTTATTTATGCAAGCTATTTTGCTGATAGGGACTGAAGCTCAAGAGATGAAGTGATTCATCTTAGCCAACTGAACTAACAATTGGCAGAGTACCTGTTTGAAGTCATTCCTGCCTGAGATCAAAGCTATGGCTGTAACAGTGATCCTAATCATCTAGTTACGGGCCCACGTGTAACTGTGGTAGTGAGACTGTGTTGGGGAACTTTCTCTTTCTCCTGAGCCTGGCAGCCCAACCCAGAGGCTGACTTGCAGACCACCCTCTGAATCTGAAGATACATGTGTCTTGCTCAGAATCCCATTACTCTTTTGGGTCGCTCTAGAATTTGGGGATCATTTATAAAAGTGCCTGCTAAGTACCAGCCACTCTGCTTAGAACGTTACACATGCAACCTTCCCCCCCCCACTTGCCCCCCACACACTTAGATGCTTCTTTTCAACAATCCTAAGTAGATGACAAATGACATTATCCCAGTTTTATAATGAAGACCCCAGCAGGGCTCTGGGAGGTTGAATGTCTTACCCCATCCAGATGATCTGAATCTAGCATGCTGTCTCCAAAGACTGCTCTACAGAATGTGGCTGCTTCCTTGCCTCCTACTTGGCAGATCTTGACAACAGGTACCGAGTGTCCATCACTGTCATCAGCTAAGATGAGCCAGCATGGGGCTTTGCCTGGCTCAATCTGGTACTCACACTCCTGATGAGCTCTTTCTACGTGTGAAGTCTATTGATTCCTTCCTAAGACTTTGTCTTTGATGTAGCTCCCAGGGTGACCAGGAAGCCCAGAACAAGAAGGCGCAGGGTCACAGAAAACCATAGTTTTAAAGCACAGATGCAGCTCTTAAAAATTTGTCTTAAAGTGAGCAGCACCTTGCTCAGGGGAAGGTACTGAAGAAGCTTCCCCAGAACCCCATGATTCCTTAGAATATAATTTGAAAGGAACACTGGACTGTCTGCCCTCTTGGCTGAGACAGAAGCCTGGTGCAGTGGTAGGTGCCAACAACATATACACGCTTAGGATCCTTGAATACTGGTCATGCCTTCTGCCTTGCCAATGTCTCATACAAACTCAGTCATAACTAATCTTCCCATCTATCCCCAGGCACTAGAGACATTTCTTTCCAGTTTGTCTCTAGCTCTAGCAGGATCCCCAAACAGCTACACAGCAACTGCTCAGGACTGGGTCAGAAAGACCCTTCCTCTGCTGACAACCCTTCTTCTCCCTGTCAGGGACAACAATGTCTGCAAGAAAGCAAAACAAGATAATGAAGAACTCCAAGAAGTTAGGACCACTGAGAAGAAACCGGAATCTAAGACAGCAGAATCCATAAGGGAACCTGAGACAAAAACGTCCAATGAGTGGAAGTCCAAGGAAGGGTCACATGGGCCACCTGCAGCGGTGTCACGGAGTAAAGAGCAGGCAAAGGCTACAGTCCCCAAGATATCAGAGAGTCTTGGCTTGCATACCAGTGACCAGAAGAGGAAACCACATGTTAAGCCCCAAGCTGTCGTCCTGAAGACCTACCATCACAAAACTCCCATGACGGACACGAATCCACTGGACGTAACTGACCAGTTTGTGTGGTTTGAGGGGCTCCCCACACGCATCCGCCCCCCAGGGCGCCGTGTCATGTGCAGAGCATCTACCCTACGCTGCACCAAGCGCCCCTGCACCCGTTTCTGCTCTGTGTCACTCTGAGCTGCCTATGTGCCATCCATAAGAGGTAGGTATGACAATACCTCTGCCAGGCCGAGGAAAGATGCAGCCCCTCAGCCAGGCTCATACCTGAGCCCTAGACTCGGGGCTTCTGGGTGGTTGACAGTACTGGGAGGCTCCATACCCAGAGAGAGGAAGCCACTGACTAGGCCACACAGCTGGGCTGAGGATGCATCTCCATGTGACTCTGAGCTCTAGAAAGGTGTGATGGAAATGTGGGATCCAGTATGTGTCATCTCATTGTCTGGAGACCCCAGGAAAGTAGGAACAACTGTGGCCCTGAATCTCAATCAAGTTTAAGCTAGGGAGGAAGGAAGTAGCCATACTGGGCTTTGCCACATCTTCTCCCCTTAGGCCAAATCAACTTATTTGATTAAGTCACATTTTAAATAAGACTTATGCTAGAAAGTTCTTAAACAAAACAAAGACAACAAGAAACTCTCCCCTTCATGGGTTGAGGTCCCCATGAAAGGAAGAGGTGTCTGACTCCTGAGGTCCATCTTAATGGCCTTCCTTTTGGGAAATTGAGATAGCTCCAATTTGCCATACAAAAAAACCCCAAAGCTTCCAGGCCCTGAGCCCACTCACTAGATGATAGCGCCCTCTGGAGGTGATTTTTATGACTAACATGGAGATTTTTGCTGGCAGGTGGTGTAACCCTGAATGGGAACATGAATGTTAAGAAGAGTAGAGACCCTGCAATTGACTGAATGGGAGGGATGGGTGGGAGTTCCATGAGTCTACAAATAAAATCTCCCATATGGCACTGAACAATACTACCACCGGCCCCACCTGCTAAGGCTGGCAATCACATAAACATGGAGGACAGGGATCCTGGGGGAGGTGTAGCGGGAATGTATGTTGTGTATGAGTTTCTGCTACCCTGGTCCATCCCTAGGCTCCTAAAGTCAATTTCCAAAACCGGAACAGAAAATCTACCAAGTTATAATCCTTTACCTTCCCTCCCTGCCCCACAAGCTGTCTCCTTTGAGCAGTGCACACTTCCTCTATGAAGTCAGAGACCATTTATCTCCTGGGTGCAGGTGCCTCACAATGGCCCTGCCATCCAAGGAGAGGTGGACACCTGTACCCATACAGCCAGTGGCCACCCCAGCTTGCTCAGGAAGGAGTCCCTGGACCAAAATCTACCCTCAGTCTCCAGGTTTCTCTATCCCACTTTCCCAAGAGAGGAAAAATTCACACGGAGAGCCCACCTTGGCCAAAGGAGTCATCCCAGAATCCATCTCACCACTGATTATCAATGCATGTGGTGTCAATAATCGAGCCTCCTGGGTCACAGATCATGGAAAACACCAGGACTGGCAGGGAGTTATCATTGTGCCCCCTAGTCCAGGTGTAACAGCACTGTGTAAATGCACATTTTCTTTATCCATTCTTGGGTTGAGGGGTTTCCCCCCATCCCAGGATCTGGCTATTACAAATGATGCTGTTATGAACACAGACAAGCAAACATGTTAGTGGTATGATTGTGCATCCTTTGTGCATATGCCAAGAGTGGTATTGCTGGGTCTTGAGGTAGACTGATTCCCAATTTTCTGATTTCCAAATCAGCCATACTGATTTCCAAAGTGGTTGTACAAGGTTGTGCTCCAGGACCTACCCCAGGTACTTGAACTGGCTTTATAGAGCCCATTCCCTATGGTGGGATACCTTGTTCAGCCTTGATACATGGGGGAGGGGCTCAACTTGATATGCCAGACTTTGCTGACTCCCCAAACAAGCAAGGCCTTACCCCCTCTGAAGAAAGGGAAGGGAGGGAGAACTGGGGTTAGTATGTAAAATGAAAAATTTTAAAAAAAGAAAAAAAGAGAATATACAATAGCCACCCTGAGGGGTACAGCAGACAGGAGAAGGCAGGCTCCTCTACTGTGAAATGGAGAGGGGAGAGGGAGGCTGGTAATTTAGAATTATGGGTCACTTCCTACCTGCCAGAACTATGCCACATGTACCTGCATGAAATTCTCACACCAATCCCAAGAAATGAGTACTCTCTGCCCTCCACAGCCCTGCGTTCTGTTCTGCATGCATGTGCTCTATACCCTGGGATTCAACCAACTGTAAATGGGAAATACTGGATATGTACAGACTTCCCTTGTTTCCTGAACAATACCGTATCGCCTCAACCACCACACCGACATTGCACCATCTGAAGTATGAAAGAAATGTATGTAGATATATGGAAACACTACACCATTATCTTTTGCAGGGGTAGGGTGTGGAGAGTGAGACACAACACACCCTAGCCAAGCTGGCCTCAAACGCAGCCCTTCTCCCGCGACCCACTGCCGCGTTCTATACCTCTATCCTGTGACCATTCCCAGTGACTCAGCTTCCATTCCCTTTCCTGCCTCGATACTGTTTTCATTAGTCTTTGTCACTTTCCTGTAAGGTGTGACTGCCCTTTGGTCAGAAGGCCACCCTGAAGCCACAGGGGAAGAGCCCAAGAAACAGAGCTTCCAGGAGAGCCTTTCTGAGCCCTGAACCCTTCAGGACTTAGGACTTAGGGCCTTCCCTCAAAACTCAAGATCTCTGCCAGTGCATTCTGGCTTCCATGTGATTGGTCTACAGAGGGCTGCACATAATGAGGCGTTAGAGGTGTCCTTCGAGCCAAACTTTCCCCTTATCTTTTGGAGTTACAAACTGTTTTGAGTGGCAATTACACGAGTCCCCACATCCCTCTCCAAATGGCCTGAAGTGGATGTTAGGCAGAGTGAAGGGAGACGCAGGGTCAAGGCTTGGGCTCTCCACAGAGGTATGTTCTTTCACTAGGGAGCTGGAGGAGGTAGGTTTCTGATCTGGACAGACACACCCAGCCTGCACGTTTACATTACTTGTTAATCTGTGGTCCTCATTTGTACATTGCCTATCCATTTTTCCTGAATAGAACACTCTATTCAAACTAATTTAGGGAAACTGAGATTTGAAGGTATACGGTTAGAGAATGCTGAACCAATCACAACTTACAGGCCCTAATTATTGACCTCCGCTGCATGAGCTCATCCTTGTTACTTCCAGAGCCCAAATTCTGAGACTACGGGCAAGTTCCATAGTTTCATCACCGGCAAGGTATGGATGACAGAGCCAGGCAGTGGTGGCACTGCCTAGCTTTAATCCTAGCACTGGGGAGGCAGAGGCAGGTGGATCTCCTGGAGTTTGAGGCCAGCCTGGTCTAGAGTATGTTCCAGGACAGCCAGGGCTACACAGAGAAACCTTCTCTCAAATATGTGTGTGGTACAACTGAAGTTGTTACAAGAGGAGACAAGTCCCCGGCCCTCTACCAGACACCAGTTAGTCATTCACTGCATACATTGATTTTTATATTGACAAAATGTCACTGTCACTGGACACAATGGAACTCACCTCTAGAAACATTCATATTGTTGCTTCAGTAACTGTACACATCTCAAAGGCATAAACTTTGTGTGCATTACATGTGTGGTGTATATAGGTTGAGAGTGTATGTGTGGATCCCAGACTAGGACATGCAGATATTTTCTAGCACATTCAGTCTATTGCCTTGAGACAGGCATCTCACTGAATGTGTGAGTGCGCGCGTACAGAGTCCAGAGCAGGACATCCAGATGCTGCTTTCTAGCACACTCAGCCTACTACTTTGAGACAGCATCTCACTGAGCTGAAAGCTTGCCATTTCAGCTAGGCAGGATGGTCAACAAGCTATGTAGATATGCCTGTCTCCACGCCCTCTGGGGAATATCATCTGATTTCTGGTCAGCTGCCACTCAGCTGTCAGTCATTATATTACTGGGGTAAAAGGAGAAACAAAGAAAAGTCACCTTGGTTCCTTTTGGTGCTTTCGCAATTTCCAAAAATCCAATTAGCAGTCAAAACACATAGGTTTCTCATCAAGGACACTATGCAGAAGCAGCTGGCACAAGCAACTAAAAGAAAATGCTAGAGAGATGTTCTTGCCTGGAGCAAAAGACTCCACAGCTCAAGGGAGACAGCAGTTACGCTGCATTTTCTAAAGCCCTTCATTGTAGTCATAGCCTGAGGAGTTTGTGTCTAGGAGGAAATCCACCAATCAGCTGGGCCTAGGCCCTGCAGCCAGCATAGCCACAACCCAGAGTTGCTAAGGGGCTTTTGCCCAAGCACTTTCATTCTCAGATTTTCATTCTGCCAGCTCCGACTCCCTACTCTACAAGGTTGAGGTAAGAGGCAAGAAAGGCTCCCTAGGGAGGAAGCGAAAAACTCATCTTTAGCTGTGAGACTCAGCTATCTTGGGCAAGCTCCAGAAACCAGAGAAACCCTGCCTGCTTCACAAGTGTTTACCATGGTACATGCTCAGGGTTCACAAGGGGGATGGGGGGAAATGCCATTAAATACCCTAGGCATCGTAGAGCAGGTGCAGGTGGAGGGCAGGATACAGTGTTTTGCTCGTTTTGTGAGACAGAGATTCACGATATTGTCTGAGTTTATCATGTGGCTCAGGTTGGCCTCAAACTCAGGATCCTCTTCCTCAGCCTCCCAAGTATTAGGGCAACCAGGTGCTCTCATACCTATTCTGGCATTTGGTATTTGACCTGAATAGAGAAGTAACTCTGGGGCTCAGGAAAGGAGGGATGCTAATTCTGTATAGCTCTTAGGCACAGCTATCTCTCTCTTGGTTCTAACAATGACATCAAGTAAGTACAGGCAGAAGTATGGAAAATACTGGATTTATGTACTGAGAAAGGACAGCTGCCAGTGTGCACCAGAGGAACCACTCTAGAAGTAAACTCTAGCCTTCACAGCAAAGTCTATCTCCTCTAGCACCATCAGTGGAGCCTGCAAGGAGAAACTGGGCACCCATCATACCCCCTCACCACCACAGAATTCAAATAAGACAGGAAAAAACAAAAACAAAAACAAAAACTCTTGCCACAACTGGGAGCTGGTGCCTGATCATTCCTCGAGAGCAGGCAGTGGCTTTTATTACAAAGCTAAGGCTGAGGGGTGGAGGGTGGGGTGCTAGGACTCTTCTCTGGGTCCTGTGGCCCACTGTGTTGAGAGTCAGTAGCAGGGCAGAGTCCATACAGGGAACTGGAGGAAGTCAGTCACGGGTTCTTGGACACACAAACACACACCGTGTGTGTCTAACGGCACATGCTGTGCGTTTTCTTGTGCTTGATGCTTCTTTCATTGGTCGTCCTCTCTCGGCCAGCAGCCGAGTACTCTGCTCCTACATCTCTTTCTGGGGTTATGGACCCAGAAATCAAATGTTTCTCCTCACAGAATCACTGTGGTTTGGCAACATGGCAAAGGTACCAGCTGTCCCAGAGGGTAAGACAGGCGACCAGAAGAGTGGTTTGCACCAATCAGATATCCTTGATTTTTTTTTTTTTTTCCTTTTTTTAAAATAACAGGCTGGTGACAGTATGATGGCTCAAGAGTGACATGGTTCCGAATCTGTTATTACCCTCAATGAGGTCCCCTTCCTGGCCTCCAGATATCAAGGCTCCAGCAGGCAGAGGCCATTCTTGCAGCTGTGATCATGACTGCTACCTGCCTCTGTGACAAGACCTCCTTATCTTTCTACCAACAGACTTCACATTTCCAGGGTTGCTCTGACTCAGGCTGGACCCATGTGGAGGTCTTAGCAGCCCAAGGTGACAGGGGGGCCAAATGCCAGCAGTGTGTCCGAAGGGCCCAACTCTAGACATTGGATTTAGGGGCTGTGCTGAGGGGGATCTCCTTGAGCTCCGTCCGCATACACAGGTATTCCCCGATGACGGCCATGAGTGCAATGCACACAGCTTGGACCAGCCACCAGGTCAGCGCCGAGGGGAAACGGGAGCTGTAGAGCCAACACCCCAGGAGGTGAAAGAAGTGGACAGTGACAGTGAAATCCAGACACTGCTTCCCTCGCCGGATGAAGTACAGCAAGCCCAGGGCACTGTGGGGGAAAGGACAGCAGCGGATTGTCACTGGGTTGTCCTGGCCTTACATTAGATTCTTGGGGGTGTGGGTGGGGACAATTAGGATGGCAGCACAGCAGTCAGAAGCGAGCAAGGAGAGCGAGAAACAAGGGTTATCATATCAGATGCTGGGTAACATCAAGAGTGGGTCTGACAGAGCAGGGAAAGATGAGTTTGATGACAAACAGCTGCCCAGGAACGGGACACACTGGTGGCTACCAGAAAGTACACATCTCTGGGTAAAATGCAGACAGAAGCTATTACATCCAGGCAAATCTTAGAGCCTGGAATCAATCCATTTCCCCACTATTCAAGAGAAGCCAGAAATCTGGACATTTTCCCTCCTTCAGTGTAAAGTTGTAATACACATGTGCAAGATTGTTTGAAGCACTTCCCGTGAATTAACACAGTCCTTTACAACCAGGAGGTGATCAGATTAGCCCCACTTTACTGATGAGGGGATGAGATCAAACTGAAGTCACTACACTAGAGGTAAGGTAGTGGAAGACTTGAGGCCAGGTTAAGTCTGCTTTAAGTCTCAGATCTCGGTCCCTATGCTAAACTGATCCTCAAAAGATGGGCAGTGGTCATGAGCAGCCTTGGATGTTACCCAGTCCAACACAAGGAACCCGGGTCGCAGACAGGAGCAGAGTGACTCCGTCAATGGCAAAGAGCAAGAATGGAAGCCAGTCTTCCCCTCAACTCACACCATGTCTGGGTACATTATCAGGAGTCAGCACACAGTGACAATGAGCTTTGAGCTTACTTCAAAATAAAAATGGAGACCTGCGACAGGGCCAGTTCTTAGAAATAGGCTCTTCCACCCACCTTACCATTCCCAAGAAGTGCCAGCCAGCTCACGCTTAAGTTTAGGAAGTTAGTTCCAGTTAGACCCCGAAAGATGTATAGGAGAGCTGGCAGTACTCACCAGGTGAGGGCGTTGAGGACGAAGGACATCATGGAGAGCCGGCCTGGAGGGGTGGAAAAGCCCAGGATCTGAGGGGGAATCACAGGGAAACACGCTAGAGATGTGACCTGGCAGAGCCCCAGGATTCTAGCAAACAGCCAAAGGCACAAACACTTGTCCCAGAGCACAGGAGAATACATCCTCTTCATCTGTATGGAAGCCCATTTCCAACATGGTTCTTTCACACACACTGTATGGTATCTCATTCAAGCCTCACGGCATGTGGGAAGGTACTATTTTCCTTTTACAAAACAAAGACACACAAGCATTTGGAGAAGCTGCCCCAGGTGATGCAGTGACTAAACAGCAAGAGTTGAGTCTAAAGGGATGTTGAGCAAACTAGGGCGCCACAGGCCAGGCATTCGCTTCGTAAATCAAGTTTAACTGAAACACAGTTCACAATTATTTTCTGATCTCTTTATGACTGCTTTTGTACTATAAGAGTTGAGTTAAATGGCCTCAACCAAAAAACCTTTACTACCTCATCCTTCCAAAAACAGTTTGCTGATCTTTGAGCTACGGCTCAGACTCTCAACAACAAAGCCTGACTCCCATATGCCCTTACAAGAAGGATGGAGCCTCCCACAAAGTGCTACTACTCAGCACCCAATATGTGTGCAGTATTTACTGTTTACAGAGTACAAGTACTAAATATCTGAAGCACACTTCAGCTTGCAAAGGCCTCTGAAATCCACGATCTCACACCACTACTAGTGTCTCTTCTCAAATAATCAGTTATCCAAAGGCTAAAGCAAGGATACTTAATGAGAGCAAGGCCTCCATCCCAGGTCCCTGAACCAAGAACTTTGCTCAGTATCGTCTGTCAATCACAGCTCCTTCTCCTAACAGGCTCTTAGGCTTCCACTATACCTTACAAAGCATTTTCCTTTTTTGTTTCTTTTTGTTTTCCGAGACAGGGTTTCCCTGTCTAGTCCTGAATGAAACTCACTGTGTCCACCAGACTGCCCTTGAACTCAGACCCACCACCCTCTGCCTTCTGAATGCTGGTAGTAAAGGCTTGCAACACACATGCACACCAGGCTCATGGAGCATTTTCTTTTAACATTTTCACTGTGGGTGACATGACAGGGTTAGTCTGCCCATTTTCTGGAGGAGGAAAATGCTTGGAAAGGTAAAACAATTTGTCAAGTTCCTTCAGTTAGACTGGACTATAAACACAGGCAGGGTCTGTGTACTACAATTTACCACCTAATGCCAGTCGCATGATTTTGCAGACAGGAGAGGTAACATTTGCCACAGTCACACAGCCAACAAAGTGGAATTTAAGTAAGATGCCCGTCTGACACCAAGTCCTAACAGTTCCCACTGCACCACCCCGGATGCCCTTTTCTCTACTCCTCTTCCTACCGTGGACCCTGCAAATCTGAGCTTAGAGAAGTGTAGTCACTTTCCCGAGAGGTCTCAGCAAAGAGACTTTCCATGCTTGCCTGAGTGAGACACAAGCCTGTTGACTGTAATATCTGTAACCTCGGGCTAACTAGTTGTGAGTGCAGCCCAACACAAAACTGTAAAGTTACTTAAAACCCCGTAAGATTGCCCCCCCCCTTTTTCCAGACTTGAATGCGCAGTTCCCGAGCGTGAACTTGACAGATGAGTACGTCGTTTCCCAATATCAGAGGACTGACTGGACACGCCTGAGAGTGAACTCATCTGCCTCCCTGCCCTCTGTCATTCCGTTTTACAGAAGGGGAGGGGAGCACACTGGAATGAATCCCTTCTTTCTTAGGTCCCCAAAAGGAGACCATGCCCAGTTAGATCTAGAGCTTGGCGGTGCGGGACCACAAAAACCTACTCCATCCCGCCAAGCCTACCTCCGCGTCGAACATCTGGTCCAGGGAAGGGCTGCTGCGCACCAGCGCGTCCACCAGCGCCAGCCACAGGCCCAGCGAGCCGTAGTACACCGTCTGCATGAGCACGATCTGCGACAGGATCAGCAATGGATCCCACACGTAGCTGCGAAACTGGCCCGCCATGCCGGCCCGCGGGGCTCGGCAGCCGCCCGCGTCTGTCAGCGCTGCCACGCCATCCGCCCGCGAACGCCGGGCTACCTGCGGGGATACACACGGAGCTTCAGCCGGCCGGCCGTCGCCTTGGCAACGCCGCGGGAGGGAGGAGGGCTTGGGACCCAGGAGCGGTACCATTCCGGGAGGTGGGGGAGGCGGGGCGGGCGGACCCACTCACGGCGTCCAGGGAAACCTGGCCGCTTCGTCCGCCGGGCTCCTCCCGGGTTCACTCACCCGCGACCGGCTCGAGGAGCCAAGCGTCCGAGCGCGGCCGGGCCTCAGCCGTGGATACCCGAAACTGCGCTGACAGGCAGAACCATGGAGCGGAGGACCTGCCGGCCTAGAGAGGCCGGATAGCTGCGGCCTGCGGCTGCGTGAAAAAGAAGCGTTTCCGGGGACGGCGGCCGACCGGCCGTACTGACATCGCGCAGGCGCAGTGTACGCGAGCCGGACCACATCATCCAGAGGCTCCCCGACACCTGCCAGGAAGTAAATGTGCACATGCGCACGAGAAAGGATGAAGGCAACCGGAAGTGAGGCACAAAGCCGTGAATCTTGCGCGCCCCCTAAAGGGGGATTAAAAAACAGCAGACCTATTCCTAGGAGGGAAAGGGATGGAAAGTCTAGGAATAAATAACATTAAAACACCATTCACTATTTGAGGGATGGCGAGATGACTCAGCGGGTTAAAGGCTTGCCGGACCTGCGTTCAGTCCCTGAAACACTCGTTGAAAAAAGAGAACTAACTCCCTTCTGCAAGCTGTCACCTGACTGTTGAGCTCACACAAATACAACAATAACAAATTAAATTTAACCAAAAAGAACTTCTTTTTGAGACAGTCTCACTTTGTAGCCGTGGCTGGTCTGGAAATTGCGATATTCCAGGCCCACCTGGAACACACACACACTTCCTCTCCCTCCAAGGGGAAAAATAAGTTTAAACATTGACTATTTTCATGTTAGATTCTCTGTGTTTTCTTTCCTTAGTTAATCCAGAACTTTCAGGCTTTTCTACATAATTTATTTTGCCCACTTTCTAATTACACTGATGTTTAAACTAAAGGCCTGAGAAGGGAGGCAACATCCTGTCTTCTTATAGACATAGAGTTAGTGACAAAATGGGCTTTTTGTTTATAGTTTGTTGTTTCAAGACAGGGTTTTTTCTGTGCATAGCCCTGGCTGTCCTGGAACTTGCTTTGTAGATGGGCTTGAACTCACAGAGATCTACCTGCCTCTGCCTCCCAAGTACTGGAATTAAAGGTATGTTCCACACACCCAGCAAAACAGGCATTATAATCCAGGCGAGGCAGGGAAGATTTGATTTGAACATATAAAACAATGCCCTGCACTCAGACATGGTTACATTAGATGGCAGACTAGTGGGTGTTGAGGTGGCCATCCAATGAGGAGAAAACATAGCTTTTGAAGTCACAGCTGGCATCAAAGCTGACCTTGCCTACCTCCATGTTCATTTTTATCTCTGCCTTCTCTGAGACTGAATAGTGGACAGTCAGTAAATATTTGCTGAATGAATCAAGAGCAGAGAAAGGGCAAAGGCAAACCCATGACTCATTCGATTTCTGTTCCCAAAGACTCAAGTTCCCCAACTTCACAGAAGAGCACAAAGAAGGGAAGTACATGGTTCTAGGAACAGAGTATGGGCTCTCAGCTGCCTCTTGCTAGCAGTGTGACCACTGAGCAACTCCTGTTTTTAAACCTCAGCTTCCCTGTTCATGAAGCAAGGAGTTGAACTACATGAACATTTTCCAACGTCTACTTTATACTGCACTAATTATCTTCCCATTTAAACACTTTACAAATCCCCACATATCTGCCCGTCAGAACTTCTGAAGAGCGAGTGATAGTCACGTGATAATTTTGAATTGATAGAACCCCAAATAAAAGTAAAGAAACAAGGCTTTAGCCAGTGTATGTGACTTCTCTTATCATTTGGAAATGGTAAATAATCCACTTGGACTCTAGCCCATGCATGCTTTCGCTACCTCAATACAGTTCAGCACAGGTTTTCAGACTCCTCTGCTCCACTAACTCACAGGATCCAGTGTCTGTGAGACTATCAAGTACACAGACGAGCTATGTAATTCTCAAAGCCCAGGACAGTAGTGTGTAAAGAAACTGCTGAGGCTCAGCAGGACACAGTGGTGCAAGTCTTTAATTCCAGCACTCAGGATGCAGAGACAGACAGATCTCTGAGTTCGAGTTCAGCCTGGTCTACCAAGCTAGTGCCAGGATAACCAGGGCTATTCAGAGAGACTGTATCTTGAAAAACAAAATGAACAAAAAAAAAAAAAAAAAAAAAAAAAAAAGGAAGAAAGAATTGAAGGCCCTCTTACTGCAAACACCAGCTTCCTTTCCAGATGACGGGAGAAGGGAGGAACTAGATTGTGGTGCTGTAGAAAAAGGAAAAGAGCAGTAAATCCTTCCACTCAGCCTTGCAGTGAGGGGAGGGGAGAGGAGAGGAAGGAGGGGAGGTCTAGAAAAAGAACAGATGGAGAGGTTTGTCTTAGTGCCCACAGGCAGGTCTGTCCATTTCTTCATGTCACAGCTGAGTTTCTGATGTCACTCTTAGAGCTTGCCTCTGGGAAAGCCCCACTGGCTGGCCACAGCCTTTCCTGCTCTGCTGTTTCCTTTTCCTTTTGAAGGCTAGGCTTTTGGGTTCCTACCTTGCTGAGTCTGGAAATGGCCACAGTCCTGTCTTAACCTGACTCCAGTAGGTAACCAAGAGCTCAGGGAACCATGACAGTTCTCTTCCCCAACCTTCTTAGCCTGTTCTTGAAATTTGATCAAAGTGTCCAGGAAATGTCACAACCTTGCTGTGTGACATTGGGCAAGTCCCTTGGTGGGCCCTTCTATTCCATTCCAAGCTATAAAGGAAAAGCCAGGGATTGGATTCCAACTTCCAAATGCAATACCCTGTGACGTCAGAACCACTTGAGAAACAGGGCATATTTGGATTCCTCTATGAAAGTGGAGCATAGAGATCAATCTCTTGGGACTGGTGAGATAGCTCAGCAGGCAAAGGCACTTGCTGCCAAGCCAAAAGACCCAAGTTCAGTTCCTGGGACTTGCACAGTGAGAGGAGGGAACTGACTCCTGAGAATTGTCCCTTGACACCTCCAAAAGCATGCAGGGTGTGTGTGTGTGTGTGTGTGTGTGTGTGTGTGTGTGTGTGTGTGTCCAGTGCTAAGGATCAAACCCAGGGCCTCACAATTATACAAACACTCGCTATTGAATGACGCTTCCAGTACAAAATCTGTACATTTAAAGCTAATTCCAAGCTAGACATGGTGACATAGGCATGCAATCCTTATACTCTGGGGTCTAGAGACTGAGAATCATGAGCTCCAGAAAGCTTGGATACATAAAGATCTCTTGTCTCAATAATAAATAATAGTAATAATAACAATAATAGTAATGCTGATCAACTTTAAGAGTGAGCCAGACTTACATATTTGGCAACCACAGAAGATTATCTGTAGTTGACTCCAAACCAACTCCTCTATCCAAAGGAAAGTTTCTCTGTGACCTTGCTGTGTCCTTGGCTATCCCTGGGCTTTAGGGTTTTTTTTTCCATTTGTAATATGAGGGGGTTGGACTAGAATAGCTGGTTCCCAAGGGCCCTTCCCACACCACCAAGTCTGTGGTTACAAACTTATGAATGAAATTCAAACTTTGGGTCAGAGCAGAGGTGGCAAACAGCCACAAGCTGGACAAACTGTCCTCTGAGTGTCTAGTCATTTGGTCGCTTACATCACCCCCACACTGGGACATGACTACAAGCATGTAAGGACAATTAGTACTAGGGTCAGCTTCTGACCTACCCTAGTAAGTCACTCAAGTGACATAGGGTTGTTTAAAGTTAAATCCTGGCTCCACTACAGCCTTGAGAACTTATTTCACATGCTTTCCACCCCCCCTTCTGTCTTAATGGTTTCCTCTTCCATAACACAGGGATCACAGTAGCACCCCTATTGTGGGCTGTACTGAAGATCAAATGTGTGCTTAGCCTGATAAGCAGGCAGTGTTGTGTAAATGTTGGCAGTATTAATTACTGCTGTTATTTCTTCCTTTGGAATGTGGGAGTGGAAATACCTAAGCTCTTAGAGCTGAGACAAGGATCTTACTCTAAGTATCAGACAGAATAAGCCCAGAGCCTACGGTTCCTTCTGTGTGTGTCTGTCCGTGCATCTTTTAGTACTGGAGTCTGGTCCTAGGACCTCGCTCATGCTTGGCCAGTGCTCTACTGTCGACCGGTTTCCTTGGCCCTATTTTCACTTTGTATTTTAAGTTGCCCAGGCTGACTCTGTTCTCCTGACAGGCTTTGAACTTGTGATCCCCCTGTCTCAGCCTCTGGCATAGCTTAGATTACAGGCCTGTGCCATCAGGGCCAGCAGCTTCTCTAAGCAGTCCCAGCCCCACCTGTGCCCCACTCCTCCCTCCTGAGGTTGCTCCATAGCCCTGCTCATGTTTCCTTTTGGGGAATAGTTTGTGGAAGTTCTCCGGAGACAGGTTATGCAACACTGTGCTCACACTTTTTGGAAACTCCATGTGGGAGGCTGGCATTGGTTCCTACTCTCTACATCACTGAGTAGCCTGGACTCTAGCCAGTGAGTTCCTTTCTTAGAATGGAAACTAGAGAGCGAGCTCATTGGCTGCCTGGTTTCTCCTCCAAACTGAGAACACTTTGTTACTCTCGTTGCATCAAGGGCTGTGTGTGCACACATGTGTTTGAGGAGGAACATTTGCTGGGCACCTACTATATGCCACAGGCTTCTGTTATCTCATTTGGCCCTTATTTGACTTCTAAAACAAGCCTGTGAGTAGTAAGTACTATTAATATTCACACTTAGCAGATAAAGAACCTGGGGCACAGAGAAAGGCACTATTTGCCCAAAGCCACACCTCCAGAAAGGGGCAGGGCTGAACTCCAACCCAGGTCAGTGTGCTGGATGTGACAGTTTATACAAAACTCTCACCTAAGCAACCTCATCTGTTTTTCTCAGCAGGGTGAGCATAAATACTGCTATTTCACAGAATACTGAGGCTCAGAGGAGGAAAACACTCACAGTCAGCTGGTGCATGGTGGGTCTTCTCAGCAGGAATAATCAAACGAAGAACCACAATGGCTAGAGCTAGCAAGTCAGAGCAGCAAGCACGAGGTCCTGGATTCCATCCCCAGCGCTGCAACCCAAACAAAACAATGCTAACACAATTAAGAAACACCTGGCGTATGCCTTCTCTCCACAAATGGCCAATTCTTCCCGTACACCAGAGGAGGGGAGAAAGGTTTCTGTGTCCTAAGCCTGATCACTGATAGTTTTCTGCAAACCATCTCTCCATGGCGGTAGGTGATTCCAGGCATGACAGTGGGTGGCTGGGCCTCTGGTTGGATGGTACTATTCAT